AAGAAAGCACTGTGAAGGATATGAGTAAGCATTCGATCAGTGTACCGGAACCAGCAGAATAAATTACCGGTCGAGTACAGCGAGAATGCCGGAACACGAACTAACGCGAGAATCAAGAAGACAGAAATGAAGACTAACCTCCGACCTGCAGAAAATTATATATCTATTAGTAGATTTATTTAACCAATGATTTATCAATTTATAATGACTTTTTTTCGTTATTTTCATCATTTCAGCTGATTCGTCAAAATCATTTTGTTTTGGATAACGTCTTTCGCTCTATATCTAAACTGGAACAGATTTTACTATACCATTTTTATGTTGTTGAAATGTTCCCTTGACTTTTGTAACCATAATTTATGATTTTTTTTCATCAATGTTTTTCTTCAAGAATTGTCTATACATGGTTATAAATTAACGATAGATAATTTCAAGCGTTCTTGTCAAGCAAACATTCAATACAAGAATAAAAATAATGAAAAACCTGCAGTTAATATTTTCTTTATTTTATGAAATAAAGATGGAAATTTTTTTTACAGCTGATGGAATGCTGACATTAGTCATTGTTTCAACCAAAACTTCGATTATTGTTTGTGATAGAATGGTACCATCTATCTAAATAATGATTTTCTTTTTTTTTGCTGATAATGATTGAACAAAATACTGTTTTACTTTTGATTCATTTGCAGTGCCTTACACCGTAAATATAATGTTTAGTTCATGGATAAGGTTCCAGCAAGTTTTGTTGGAAGTATGTAAAAATTAAGAACTTTTTAAAAGCGTTTTTTCTCTTTTATCCCATAATATTTAATTCTTCTTTTTCGTTTAAATTTTTTTAGCAAAAAAAATTTTTAAATTCTGAGTTCAATTTAGAACTGTTTAGCAGATTAAGAACCTTTGTCAACTTTCTCAGAACGTCTTTCTCTGAATGACTTGCTTGCTTCTTTTTCATTTTTTAATTCAAATTTGCTCACTAAAGCACATCTAATTTGATCATTCCGCAAGATAGCAAGGCCAAAAACTGAAAGAGTAAAGCAACAAGTTTTTTGAAAGTTTCAAAAAGGAAACTTGGGTTCTTGTATGCTACAAAGATGCTTGTTGTTGAAGTCAAAACCAAAGATAATTTTTGAAGCTATAACCTCCGCTAGTTACGGTTCATGAAAACACGGTCAAAGTATAGTGCACAATTATAATTAGTATCTTTATTTCAGATCCTGTGTTTTTTTACACTTACCTATAACTGAAATTGAAAGTTATAGGTGTACCTATAACTTGAAATTTACGTTACTGAGTTTCATTACTATTGTAGTATAAACGATGTGCCAGAAACTATATTCTTGAACCTCAGTAATTTAATAAGATTGTTTATCATTTTATAGGTACAATAACCAATGAAATTATTACATAGCTAAAATAATTACTCACCAGTACTGAAATAGAAGATAAGCAAGCACACATTATAAGATACTTGTTCATTTTTGCCTGTCTTCATAGTGATCAGTGAATAATTTTCTTATGCGAGTGCACATATCATTGTACGGAATTTATTGTTGTCCAGTAATGAAATAAACTGATTGGTCAAAGTTGAAAAACTGAAAACTGCCAGTACTGCGGTTGTTACCATGAGATACTAACTCAAAACACTTGAAATTATGTTGATGGAACAGTCCGTAAAACTCGCCTTCCCTGCACTGTGCTACCATTAAAAATATTAAAATTTGAATAAATAATTCACTTTTAGTTAGCTGAGTTACCTTATCGATGCAGTAAGCAATAGAACTATTTTTACCCTGAATCGCTCCATACTTTTTTAATCCATTTACTTAGTAGATCGGTTCAGGCAAACCATTATTTTAAATCGGAATAGAAATTCCAAAAGCTTTGATTAGACAGGTTCTAGAATTGGGCTTGCTTTTATTCACATTACATATTAAGCTTTAATGGTGTTCCACGATGGAATGCAAAGCTCTAGTCTCAAGTTATCTGCCATTCATACTTGAAATACCACAAAAATAAACTCATTTATTCAATTAAATAAATGCTTTATTACTGAATTTAACATGAATTTCATGTAATCTTAGCACATCTAAAAGCAAAGTGGTGGATTATTTCAAAAAAAGTTTTGTATGATTGATATTGGTGGGGGGGGAGCAGTGCTTTCACTTTTTTTTCCAGTAAACTAGTAGCTATCAGAGCAAAAATGTCGAGTAGGAAGCTTTTTTTTTCAAATTTTTATATCACGAGCTTCCTCACTCCTAAAAGAAAAATAAGTAAAAGATGACCATTGGCATCGTATGAGTTGTTTCTATGCTCTTTTTTACAAAGTTGTGCTGATAGCGTTTTCAAAATATCGGTGTACAGAGTAGCAAATGAGCATCAAAAATGCATAAGTTAGACGGATTTGAAAGTTATCCTTATCATTCTGCTTTTGCTTGCATATAATATAATATTGTGCAACTGCATTATGAATTTGTAAACAATTATTCACGTTCCATTATCGCACACTTAATAAAACAGTAGTTAAATGATTGAATAACAAATCATACGACGACTTTAACATACGGATTTTGTCTACGATGTAAAATTTCTGTTCTCTGAATAAAACCATTAGTAAACCGAATAGAGTGAATTTATACCACAAAACAAACATCTCCTAACACATGTTTTAATGTTCCCCTCCTATTTAAGTACATTTAAAAATTGATATAAGTTAGTATTTGAAACCATAACATGAACAAAAAAGCCCTTGATTTTCATGAAGTTTGCAACAAATTATTGTTGTCCTTCGTGTAAATTAGTACCACATAATATTCAATGAAAACACAGGTGCAGCGTTGTGATAAGATGCATTCACTGTTATTAATTTTGCTGAATTACAAAATTTCAATGACATGACATCTAAAAAGATATTTTATAGTAGTTTTTCATTATTTGTGGCGTCAAATAATGCTTATTTCTTGTACATTAGTTCCTTGAAAATCAAACGTCCAGAGTTTCTTTTTAAAATTTACCACTTGTTGCTTATTGTATACTTTTCTTTAATTTGTAGTAAATACTTACTGCCCCTCAATACAAAATTAATGAATCTATGCGATAAAAACACCGAACCAATGAACATGATTCAGAACCGAATGAATATAAAAGAAGAGTGAGAAGTGTTAACATCTGAATATTTGCTATTATTCAGTGCTTACGAATTATGAAACAAAAATTCAAATTCTGATAGACTGGCCATCATTATGAGTCGTATTTCATAGTATAAATGCAATATCTAGTCTACTAAAAAACGATAAGTCACATGTGCCTGTAGCAACAACCTTGTTTACTTATCAAGGTAAACTACTACTGCAACCCTCATATTGCTTTACTAACCAAAAGTATACCTTTCAGTAATGCTGTTTTATTCTGCTCAGTTTATTTTATCACTCTATTTTATTCATTTCCTTGAAAAAAAGAAAAAGAACTTAAACATGCAGTAAAATGACCACTGAACTGTTGATATGTTGAGCAATGTAAGTGCGCAATTAACTTCACTGCAATAGCTTTACTCGCTAAACGCCTCGGTAAATTCCGCATCTTGCACGATATCTCAGGACTAATTGTGATGAAAAGTGCAAGCAATCCACTTAATTTCTTGCCATATATCAAAATAAATATGCAGATGCGCCATGACAATCTCCATCACAATCTGAATATTAGCTGCATTATGCATCTATTTCTTTATGCACAATACGTCTATCTTATCCCATTTGCAGCAGTGAATAACAAAATGAAAACAAAAATTTTGTGCAAGTAAACATCTCAAATTGAACGGTTCTATGTGTAGACCTGCAAGTTCATTAAAGGCGCAGTGAAGAAAAACTAACAAACCTGAAATCATAATCACAGCAGTTTCGCAAACACCTATAAATAAACTAACAAAGACTACATGACGGTACTATTTCACCTGCCAAAAAGAAATGAATTTAATTTGACTAAGAAGGAGCATCTGTACCAAATTAGTACGGAACAAAAAGATTGGACTCCATTCCAAGTGAAATTCCTTCAGCAATCCCATACAATTAAATAAAACTAATGCGCCTTAATGATGAATAAGAATGTGCTTAGCACTTCTCAAGAACGACACACAATAATTTCTCATGGAACACCCAGATCCTCAACATCGTCTATAATTACTAGAATTGTACTCACTCTGATTCCACTTTCTAGGTTCGGATCTAAATTGCGAGAGCGTTTTGTTGTTCTGATTGACAAAAGGCTGCTTGTTGGTCATTATAATGAATGTAGTGAGTAGATCAAAGGTGATGTTGAGAAGTATATTTATGGCTGTCATCATGAGGGAAGTGATAGGTGAAATAAACCGGACTAGTTGCAGTGTTGTAAGGGTGTATTTAATCTCCTGTCACGTCACATTTTAGGGATACTTGATATACGTAGATGAGGCATGCAGATTGGGTCTTAAATTGTCATCTCTGAACCACCTACATCCTTGAATTAAATGGTACTGCAAGTGTTTGCGTTATAAACGGAATAGTTAAGTTTGTTTATTCAGTTTAAACTTTCGTAACATTCTTGTGTACCAGCAAGCTTTTCAGCTCTTAGCATGCTTCCGTATATTATTTTGAGTATTTACAGTGAATAAATCTTAAAAACACTTCATATTGAGCGAACATTTGTTTTTTACTAGCGTTGCATAGTTACTGCATAACATCTATATTCAAGAGCGTTTTGTTGTTCTAACTGCAGAAGGTTGTCAGCCATCATATAAATCTTGTGAGTATAAGGGTTGTCATCGTGACAATATCTGGTAGTATTTGTCACCAACCACTCATCCACTCACCATTTTTATATGTAAGAGGTAGATGCCGCTTCTTACTGTATTATGACATTGAAATTGGGAAGTATTGATTATTTGTCATCTATGTATCCTTTTGTTTGTCACTTTTCTCTTATTTTCGGGAACAGGAATTTTTTGGCTGTGTCTTGTTAAAGGTTTTACCATGATAAGCCGACTACGTTCATGGATGACATGGTCATGGACATACTTATGGGCGTTATGGTTTTTGTTAGTTATTGCACTAATATATATTCTGCGTGGCCCTCTTCATATTATTGAATCTTTGGAAACTGGTAATTTTTTCCTTTAGTTTATTATATTTCATACTTCTTTACTTCTTTTAAATTTTAATTCTCCTTTTTATTTTCAGCTTCAACTTACTTTAATAATTTGACCCCAAAATTTTATGTTGCATTGACTGGAACGTCAAGCTTAGTGTCTGGTATTATTTTGATCTTCGAATGGTGGTATTTTAAAAAGTAAGTGCTTTGGTTTTTTGAGCGAAAGAAATTTTTAAAAAATTATATATATAAGAATGTACTTTGAAATTTTTGCAGTACACTGAAGTGTATATTATGAAGTTATGTTTCTTGCTGTAGTGTTATTTTTTTGTATATTCATGAATTGCAGCAATTCCGGTGATAATGGTTTGGGTAGCGAAGATGGTAGTGATAACGAAGATGGTGGGGAATCGACAAGCCGAAGTGTTCCAGGTTTAAAATCTTGATAATATACTTCATTGCTAATGTATTTATGTAAAAAAACATCATTAAATACTTCTACAAAAGTCATTTTATTAATTAGGCAGTAAATTTCTAGAATGCAAAGTTTGGCGAAACCCTACAGCTTTATTCCGGGGTGCAGAATATCAGAGATTTACGAAAATGACAGGGAAAGAGCCACTTACTTATTATGATATGAATTTATCGGCTCAAGATCATCAGAATTTCTTTACATGCGAAGGTGATGCCGGTAAGCAAGATTACGAAAGTAAGTACATCTTATTGTTTTAAATGTTGCAATATAATCAAATCAATATCAGGTGGAGGTTATTCTTCTTTTCTTCATTACTGATTCTGGCGCTGGGTCTAAGCTGGCATTCTCGCTGCACTCGCCCCACGCTCAGTTCTGCTGTGCTGAT